CGTGTCGTTAGTATTACTAATATGAACGTTTTCAATCATCCCCCTCACTTGGCACTCTAGTTACTGTGAGAAAATGTATACGCCGACTACGCTACATCGCCGCAGGGCTTCGTAGTTTAGATATGAAGATAGAAACAAAACATATATCCAGATGTATGTAGGTGTCGGTAGGTCCTGACTTGATTACGACAAATATACGACTACCTACCAACATAGCAGCTTTCGTTTCACATCAGTATCATTTTACAAGGTCCGAAATTTTATTGTGTTTAGAATCCAAGGTGTAGGTGATAGCGGGTTTAACTAAGACAAATAAATATGTATGTATTATAAAACTACTGCCTAAAAGACTGCCTCGTTGGCCGAGTGCGACTGCCGGGCAAGGGGTCTCAGGTACGATTCCCGGGTCTGGCAAAGTATTACTGGGTCAATAAAAACAATTCTCAGTAATAGCACGGAGTCTGGAATTGTGCCCGGTATATGGCAATAGGCTCACCCCCTTTACACACACCTTTTATGCCTGAAGGGGTAGGCAAAGGTGGACATTACAGCACTTAATTCCACTGTACAATGTTGTTACATTTTACCCACTTTTCACTATTTATGTTGTGAGTCCCATATAATAGGGGGTGAGCCTATTGCCATATACCGGACACAATTCCAGACTCCGTGCGATCCCGGATTTTTTTTTGAAACCCAGTTATACTTCGTCCTACCCGGGAATCGAACCCAGGACCCTTTGGCTGGCACTTGCACTTGCGATCACTCCGGCGGCAACGAGGCAGTCTAAAGGCATACCTAATATTAAAGTTCTTCATAAAATTAGAACAAAGTGAAACTGAAAGTTTTGTCAATACTAGCTCAGTGGTAACTTGAGTTGAACACTCAACACGTGTCCCAAAAACAAACAATAAGTCAACACGAGTAGAAAGTGACTTTGGTGACACGACGCGACGCACGACTCAGGTGGCATAGTGAACTAACACTCGACTTTTAACAATGGCGGCGCAAACTAACTTTGGCGTACCATTATTATAGTCGTGTTTATCGTACACTAGGAACTGTTCAAACTGTGGTGGCAGTTCCTGTCTGTATCAAAGTTAGCTGGGAAATTTATTTTGTGTTGCAAAATGTATTTTTGTTGATAAATGAAGATGCGTGTGTTAATGGGTCTTTGTCGACACCTCCTTCAACTTGGACCACAATCCAAAGAGCGGCGCCTATCTGTGTAATAAACCATACACTGACTCGGAGCTTCTTTATTTTTTTTATAGCCTATCGTTAATATCGAGGCTTTTACAGCTCCGATGCTTTATTACACGACTTTAAAAAAAATGTAATACTTCTCTTTTTCTCAAATTCGGTAACATGTTAATTTCGACTATAAAAATAAAACATTATGTGCGTACGGTGTGTTTATTGTGGAAGAAATCAATTTTATTTCCATGACGAAGTATTGGAGTAAATATCGAGATTGCGTTTGTCTTTAACTCAAGGTATTTTTATGGCTTCAAAGTATAAAAACCTTACTCCGACTTTTAATCTCGTAGGTAGAAGATTTAATTTAGAAACCTTATTTATAATGCCTGGTAGGTGGGGCTGCAAAACTGCTACGATAATGAGACAATGATTACTGAGCAAAATATCCCACGTAGAAGTTCTCAGTTGTAAAAAAATATTATAAATTAAAATTGACAATAAATGAGACTAATTTGAAAGCAAGTCCTCATTAGCAAAAAGAAAAAGTAAACTATAATAACGAAGCTTATTACCAAAACAAAACAGAATTCAGCACTGAACGTTCCATCCAAATTACTATCTATTAATCATCAAATAATATCAAATCAATATTATTAATATTATAGAGGAAATCGAAGTCGGTCAGGACTACAAATTGTTCGACAAAATTGTTATAATGGTTTAAAAGGGACTGTTTTAAGTTACATCCCTCATTAAACGAGCCGCATTCTCGTTTACGGCGAGAAATATAATATAATCCATACCGTACTAATATTGTAAATATGAAAGTGTATTTGTCTGTTATTTGTCCGTCAAAACGTCACGGCAAAATGGAGCGACGAATTAACGAATTTTTTTTAGTGAAGATAGTTGAAGGGATCGAGAGTGACATAGGCCAAGTCTCATTTTTTTTCTTACCCTCACTTCTCTAAAATGGGGTTGGAAGTTACTATAAAACATTGCGCAATTTTCAAGTTAGGAAACTAAAAATTAGTACCAAATCATTTGTGAGTAATAATCGAATGAAAGTTTTTAAGTTTATTATTATTACTCATTAATTAAGAATAAAGCCTTACCTACATCGTACATCTTATTTTTTTGGAAGTCTGCCTTCTACCCTTTAAATAGCGCGAGCGAAACCACGAGCAAAAGTTAGTACAATATATACATTGAATAGGGAAATATTTATTATTTTGAAGCCATGGCAGGCCAATAGCTAGTTCGTTATCGGTAGCAAACCCGATTATGATAAGAATAAACTTTACATAACGTTGAAGTTCGTATTTTAGAATGCTATTGTTTTTGCGTCTCTGTATTTCATTCCATCATTTTATTAGATTGACTTTGGCTTTAATACTTAGCCTACAAACCTTCATGACTTATGCAGTGGATTCTTAAGCCGTATTATTTTTTTTAAATATTTATTTATTTATACTTTATTACGAACACAGAAAAAAAATGTAAACATTGCAGTAGTAATTTAAGTAGGTACAATGGGCGGTCTTATCACACGCGGCGATTTCTTCCAGACAACCTTTGGATAGAATTTTTGAAAGGAATCTGGGAATGCGTGGTAGACGCACAATAAAAGAAAACCAAAATAGAAGAAATAATTTATTTATTAGGTAAATATTGTGTAACAAGTTGCTGAAATTAAAAAGCAACATACCTGAGTCTAAAAATTAATTGAAGGAGTTGTAATTAGTGTCTGAACTAGTAGTAGTTTGATTTCAATATTTTTACTGGTTTTGTTATAAATATTCTCGTCTATGCTCATCACTTGACGTCACATTCATTTGGTTCTATTAAAAAACGACGTATGTAGGTATGTTGGTAATAGATACAGAAGTAAACGTGTCAGTTCTTAATGTCAACTACCTACAATAGTACCTATCTTTATAGTAAGATGTAATGAAACATTTCGACACATCGCGTCAAGTGCTATGCACATCAATTAAGCCGGCCCAACCAAGGCCACAAGGCGATAATACTCTTTTTACAGCCTAATTGTTTTTTGTTCCGACTATCATAAACTTAAAAACGGCATCGTAAAAATGGACGCAACTGTCGGACCCCAAACTGGAATCACACAAACCCGTCTAATATATTTAATTATAAATTTAATAATTAGCTAGTTGCGCATCGGCGATTTCGTTACATATAACGCAGCCAACCACCCAAGTGTTGTAGCGAGATATTAATAAAAACCACTGACTTTTATTACTAAGACCCATTATTATTAGGGGCAGTATGCGTGAAGCTCCTAATTCGGGACAACGCCACTTAATTTGGGACAATTTTATTTGTCCGTTTCTAAAGCAGTGTGTACTTATCATTCACACATAATCATTACGAATAAATTCTTCCATATTTAAACTTCCACAATTTAATACAATTACTATTATTTTGAATTAATATCACATTAAGGAAATACCATAATCTCTCATTAATACTTTTCTGCATTTGCATACGCGTAATGGGAATTTCGAATGAATTAATTGAGTAAAAGGTTGCAGAGGCGGTACAGAAAACAAAAAGATTTTCACTTTAATTGTAGGTACATTTTCATTGACCAGATAATTACACACTTTTCTATCATCGACGATATAAAAGTCCATGTCAATCACAAAAGACGAATCCACGCCTCCACAAAACGCATGAGCCCCCTACTTATTCCGCACTATCTATTAGATCAAACCGCGTCCAATTATCGGGACATACATCATTCTCCGTTATTTGTTTTGACGCACAAGTCACTGGGTGCCTCTGCCGGCTGGCTTTCCATTTCCGTTTTCTACTAATGAGTATTAACGATGGCTATGCTTATCAATTAATAGGGGGTCCTTAGAAATGTGAAATTAGGTAAAACTTGACAGGTTGTACGTTATATTTGTAGTGATATAGTCTGTGGACTTTCGGTTTGAATTGTATGCGTAACAACTATTTGATAGTTTTTGTACCTCGTGCTGGAATGTTGTTGAGTTTTGTTCACACTTTGCGTAGATAGAGGTTGAAACAAAGTTTAAAATAACAATGAATTACAACTTATAACAGCATCGTGTCGTCTACAATTAATTTGTAATTGCCGCTCCGACAGAAAAATAACTGTATGAACTTAAAGTGATCTTTGCCTATTTATCGTACTAGGCAATAGAAGATTTATCTAACTGTCCAGTGATTTTTAAAAATAATCGTGAATTATTCCTAATCCGTCCATGCTTGATTTCCCAGACCCCGGAACTGTACTTCCTCTATTAGCAGGCATGTCGTGGTCTGCCGATTGTGACCGCAGTCGCCAACTATCTTAGTTTCCTCTCGTTTGTACTAAAAACTCAAGGATGTGGGTTCGAGATGGTGCACTTTAAAATTGGAGGTGTTGCCTTTTGGATAGATAAATTGATAATGTTATCCGGTAGGCCCGATTATGTATTCGGTATGTAGTGGAAGATTGCTTAGAATGAAACACGAAGATACATTTAACTTGAGCGTGATGAGCCTATACTTGCGTGATAGTATTAACTCGTCGAGTACCGTATTTATAGACACAATTAAAGAACAATAGGTTGCGGTCACCGGTGACAGCTTGGTGTTTGACAGTTTAAGGGACAGTTATGAATAAGATGGATTCAGTAATACAAAAACAGTAACGTATGCTTTTGCGGGAAGAAGTTGGCGACATCAAATTATCTAAAGATACTTTGTCTGGACTCTCTAATACTATTGAGAAAGTGGCTTTATAAAAATAATTTCAATTGTTACAGAGATACTCCACCGCGGTGACCTCTCGTCTTCAATGGAGTCGTTGGCCTACGACTCATCAGTTGCTTCGCCTGGTAGCGTATCCAGTCACACACAGCGTACCAAACGGATGCGTACCAGCTTCAAACACCACCAGTTAAGGACCATGAAGTCCTACTTCGCAATCAACCAAAACCCTGATGCTAAGGATTTGAAGCAGCTGGCTCAGAAGACTGGCCTCTCCAAACGTGTTCTGCAAGTAAGTAAACAAAACTGTCTAGGAAATGAACGACTATAAAGGAGACCTGAATACACTCAATATTCTAGAATAGTCTATTAAACTATATTCTACAAAACAGTGCTTAGATATCACTGCTTAGACACGTTTGCTGTATATTAGGTAAATTTCTATAATTTGTCGTGTCTACATTTGCTAACATAAGTACATTGATAATCCTTAAATAAAATAACAAACAGTATACGTTATATCTGTTTGTGTTTATTCAGTTTCACAACCGTCTCGATCTAACAGGTACCTATAGGAAAAATATCGTACGATATAATTTTAATGACAATAAACTTAAATCCCTTTCTTTTGCTAGGTCTGGTTCCAAAACGCCCGAGCAAAATGGCGTCGTAACATGATGCGTCAGGAATCAACCAACGGTGGTCCAGGCCACTCCAACGGGTCTATTATCCAAGGAGCAGTCTCCCAACCAAACCCTGGACCCAGTACCATGCTGATGTCAGAACCAATGCCACCAATGGAAGACATGAGGGTCCACACACCACATCCTCACCCAATGACTTTTAACGAGCTATATTGACAAATCCAGAACGAATACCTTCAAGCGGTGGGTGGACAGAACGAGGTATAATCGTGTGTAAAGAAAGCAAAATTAAGTGTTGGAATGGGAATTGATGCAATAGATAAAATGTGTAGGGTGTGGAAGGTATTTAGAAATAACTTAAGATGTATAAAACGAAGAAAAGGATCTTTAATTTTTTTCCTTACTGCCGTCTTCGAACTGGTTAAAGACAGGCACACATTTGACAACAAAATTAAATCTGTACGAAAACTTAGTGTTGATTCGGACTTATATCATGAAGAATATATTGTGTAATCGTTTTTAGTCCCTAATATTCAATTAGACAAACGATTAGACTATTACAAATTCAACACAAAACCTAAACCAGGAAAGGTTTAGATACTTTAGGTCTCATCTCTTCAAGGTTATTAAAGACTAGTGTTTGAAAAATAAACTAGACTACTACTACTAGATTTGTACAGCACATCTTGTAGTAAATAAAGAATGAATAGATTTTGTGAACTATCTATCTAGTTTATAAAATTAGATCTCTATTTAAATAACTCTTCAACTACAATATCAAGTCATCGCATTAAGTATTTTCCTATGTATTCCATAAAATTATTTTTATAGGAGTGTGTATAATCGCAACATTATTTAGAAGTTAAATACTTTAGTCTTTAATCATAGTTCCTAATAAATATTTTGTAGTAACATTAATATTACTTAACTTGAGTTAGGCGAGTTGTATTCATAGTCACACTCATCATGATACTGTCCTATAATATTGTAAATATTAAAACTTGTTTAACTCGTCGAGTACCGGTTTTATAGACACAATTAAAGAACAATAGGTCGCGGTCACCGGTGACCGCTTGGTGTTTGACAGTTTAAAGAAGTTCATAGACAACGCTTGCCTTGTGCTTTGTCGTTTGATTGAGGTTACCGGAGGCCCGATTACCCCCACCTCCCCAATCTCTCCAATCGCTGAATATCCAACAATCCTCAAATTTCCAATTCCCAAACGGCCGGTAACACACTTGTGACGCCTCTGGTGTTTCGGGTGTCCATGGGCGGCGTTGATTGCTTACCATCAGGTGATGTGCCTGCTCGTTTACCGGCTTATCCCATAAAAAACAACGCGTAGAAAGAAACTAAAATCTTTCTAGTACGGGGGGATGCCAATAAAAATATAGGGTGCTCATATTTCTTTAAAATTGGACCCTACCCTCGCCTACGCCTCATTATTTATATGGGATTAGAACATTGTGGAATGCTGTTATCATAAAACTTGATACCTGACCTCATCGTCATCTCCGGTAACACCCTTACAGCACTGAACATCCCCACTTTCGTCGATTATCTCAACCAGAAAATTGTATGACTTGCATTTACTGATTCAAATGCGTTCACTTTTTGAATCTTCTACAAGATCTATTTTGATTGTAATTGTAGTCAATTCTGTAATTTCTGTAGACATTTCCTTTGAATACAGTCAAATATACATAGTTGCAGTATGAATCGAATCTTTCTTCTTTGATTCATCATTGCAATCATTATTAGGTGGTTGCATATTTAGTTCTCATCATCATCATCATCATCAACAGCCTATAAACGCCCACTGCTGAGCAAAGCCTCTTCTCACGTGGAGAAGGTTAGAGCATTAATCACCACGCTTGCTCAATGCGGGTTGGCGATTTCAAACTTATACTTAGAAATTATAAGCCGAGGTTTCCTCACGATGTTTTTCCTTCACCGATTGTCAGTGGTGTCTAAATAATCTTAGAAAGTACATATAACTCGGAAAAAGTCACATTGGTACTTGCCGTTGGTAGGTTTCGAACCCGCACCCTCATGCATGAGAAGCAGGCGTCTTAAACCTCCGAGCCACCACGACTCGTATTTAGTTCTACATAGATTCAATAGTATTTAATGTATGTAGGTATATCGATGTATCATACTGGTAGGAGTTTTGATATTTTCTGCATTTGTCATTGATGTACCGTAGTGACAACGAATAAGTATTTTTTGAGCAAAAAGTATAAATCGTACTTTTTTGTGATATTGGGAATAATGACGTATCCAAAAGGTAGAGGTAAAGGTAGAAACTATTCTCGCACTCTGCCTATTTTTTACTATAACATTTTGTCTACCTATTTAATAGTCAGGGTTAATTCTAGACATGGGTACATTACCTTACGTGACTAAACCCAAAGCTTAATAGTAGCACTTACGACCTCATTATTGTAAGCCTGAGTGAATCAAGAACGATTTCAAAATCTCTTTGAAAGACGTCCATGCTGAAAAGAGAAGCCTTCGAAAATGTCTCTATCTCTTTCTAGCACAATAATATAATCGATGTTAAGCTAAAAGACTATCAAAATCTCGTACGGAGGCACAAAGGAGGTACACATGTACATATACCTACACATACTTACTATATTATGTGTATGTTTTGTCACGTATTGGAAAAACGGGCAGGAGACCGCAGCGCTGTTATAATATATCGAATTGAATTAAAATATTGTATTAAAAAGCTCTACAGAACATGTATTTGATTAATATTATTTAAGAAAACTTAATAAAGTGCAACGCCTGTGTAGTCAGCACAAGTTCATTAATTTTGAAACGAACCTAGAATAACCAGTGTTTCAAAAAATGTATCTTCCCATTCAGTGCTTTATTTTCTCTATTCATACTATCGACTTTGAAATTTATTAGAAACGGTACTTACTTATAAATCGAAGATATTTATTATGATAATATGATCTTTATACAATGAATGCGTCGATTCTAGGTACTATCTAAATGTGAGCAATTTTCCTTAGGGGTCGGTTTATATCGGCGGAAAATGCGCCGAGCGTTGCTATTATAACGCCAACTAGCGACGTGCTGTACGCTCGACGCATATATCGCAACACCGGCTAAGTGTGAAAAGTTGAATATTTTATTATACATAATAATCTGTTCTATCTATTGGTATCATATTAGTGTTATGTCGCGTCGCATTTTCCATTACATATGTATCGAGTTTAAGGTACAAGTGTACTCATGGTACGTGACTAGTACACAAGAAATAATAATAAATGTAGGTACAATGCATTTTTATACGATTACAACACGTAGGCTACCCATACATAATATAATTACGTGGCAATTTCGAAATGTTGAGCTGTAAAGTATGTACTCAAATTTAGAAGTCTACAGTAACTCGTGTAATATTAATAAAGTTTAATTATAACAGTTGTAAAGCCCGAGTTGGAGCTGTTACATAATTTTATTATAATGAGCATTTATTTTTTTCACAACATGGAATAAAATGAAATTATGTATAATCTGTACGCAGCAAGTTGCAGTTTCTGAAACGTCAAAGTGACAATTGACAGTTTGTTGTATGTCTGTCAAATTGCAATAAACAGTTGTAGACTCGAAAAATTGTTATATTATAGATTTTTGGTTTATTATATCCGGAAAAATGATGTTATCATAAAATTGTCTATGTATGTATAAAGATTCAACAACAACCAATCATCTTTGAATTTACATTGATTCATAATATGTGCATATTTTCGCTTGAAATTGGATTATAGAACGTAAAAAGCCCCACTATTTAACTATTTCATCTTCTGTAGAATATATTCCAGATATTTAGACCATAAGATGTATGTAAATAGTATAATAATATTTATGTATTTAGATGTGTAACTTTAGGTGCCAGGTAAAACCCGGTTGGACCGGCCCACTGCCAAATTTGTTAAATATCATAAGAAAGTGGTATAATGTATCTGGCCACCATTTTAACGGTGAATTTTTAAATTCAAAAATAGTTTTCTTTATAGAATTCATAATGCATATTAGGGTGTGGTCACAGTGTCAGTGTAAGCTGGCGATTTTCATCGAGTTACCAGTTTGTTATTCGCAAATACTTTGTGCAGCAATTTGATGTATAATAAGATTGATATTTTTGAGATAGAGAAAGAAAATTAGTCCTTATATTATTACGATATTTAACACTCAATATTAGATCATCACATGTTTTACTGAACTTCTTATTATCTGTCCCTGTAAAAGCGACCGCACCCTTACCATGAAAATTAGTGTAGAGCCGAGTCTCATACAATGTTCCTTTTAATTTATTTTTAGAATAGAAGTAATGTATGTCACAGTATTCAATATTAGTACAGTGAAGTTTGATTATTATGCCGTACGACTAAGGATTAAAATGCTACAACAGTAATAAATTTCAGGATTTCCATTTTGCTGTTTTTCAACATGCGCACTTTTGGGAGAAATCTTTTTCACAATATATTAATGTGTTACTAAATAAAGTATTAGTAGTTTATTAGTTTGACCACGGAAAATTCGCTGCACCGACAGACAAAAGGAGTTAATTGATCGAAAATGTACTATCGTCAAATTTGAGTCATAGCCCATTTGATGATAACTCGTATACAACCCACATAATAACAAAGAAATCGTCCCAAAATATTAATAAGCTTACGGTGGGTCATAATGTGAATGTGGTGATTGTACTGAACATGCCTACACTCTCGCTGTAGCTAACTTTCCTGGACAACTTACTCATCGAAGGTTTTCCAAAATAGTATTTTGTTATTTAAGTAGTTAGGTAGATTTTAGAATTTCCCGAATTTATTTTTGTATATTTTATTGCGTTATATCGTTCATTTAAATTTTAGTGTAAAATTATTTTTATTTTAATGCAATGGCGACTTTCTGAGAATTTTAATTCAGTTTATTTTTGTTTGATATACCAGATAGTCCTTAAGTACATATATGTTGTAATCTACATATATTATATTAGGTACCTAAAATTATTATTTCCATCATTCAATATTGTAAGTAGTTTTCGAACATAAGTATTAGAATTAGAGAGTAGATTAGTCTTAGAAAAACATATTTATACACGAAAATGATTTAATATATTGACATCACATTATTTGTCATTTTATTTCCTTATTCCAAGTTATCCTTAACTCTACGATAATAGACAAGCTGCCATCTAACCTTACTCCTTACGAATTTCCATTTTTATAGACAGGTATCATAATAATATCACCAGAGATCGCAGTAGGTACAGCCATTTGGTGTCAATGACCTCAAACGTAAGGTTAATAATAGATACCTATTAGGGATATAACTTCGGGATTCCAGGATTTTTTAATTACTTAATGCTTTGAGTTACCTAACTTCATAGAGAATGTACATAGGATGTGTTTATTAAGTACTGCAGAAGTTTTTTGTTACGCAAACATAAGGTCGAAAACGTTTAATTCCCGAGAATTATTTTTTTATTTTTGTCGTAGACCCTATGCGGGATGGGCGCAATGCGCGACGTCGCCGTTCCACTGTTTTGCGCGGGTTATTTCAAAATGTTTTGTTAAAAAGGCAAGTACCAAAAACAGCTCTACCTACTCTGATCTCTGCATATCACATAGCTAAGCAATATCTTAGTTTGCCATAATCTCCACACTTGGCTAGGGCTTGGAGATTGCGCACTGCACAGAGAGGCTCTAGGAGAGACACATAGGTTTCCATAGGGAAGTGCCGTACCAGGCGTTACACTGTGGAGGATCCAGGGTTAGTCTACTAAGAGGGCCCGGTGCCTCCTTCAGGTGCGGATGATCGCCACCGAGGATGTTTTAGTGAGGTATAAATCCCGCACTCCCCAGTCTTTTTCCCCAAGGTAATACTCGGTCAACAAAAAAAAAAACGTCTTAGAGATTGCAGTTTAAGCAGTTGATATTTAGTTCGCTGTCATATATGTAGTGCCGTCCACCAGGGGCCTATTTGGAATATTTCTTCTTTTTAAACGGTGCCGTTGATCGGTGCATTTACAAACATACAAGTTCACAAGGACATGACTTTGTGGATTACACAAAGATTTGCTCTGTGCGGCATCGAACCGGCTTCACGTTACGGGACAGCCAGTTGCCGCGTAACGTGTATTGTGTCCGTCATAGGAATTGTCGGTCCCACCACGGACTCCTAAGAATGAGGGCCGTGGGCACACAAATCCAGACTCCGTGCTACTACTGAGATTAAAAAAAAACACAGTACTTAATACTTTGCCAGACCCGGGAATCGAACCCGAGACCCCTTGCTCGGCAGTCGCACTTGCGACCACTCGGCCAACGATGCAGTCATGGTTTATTATTCTCTCGACAAAATACTTAAAACCTGTACTCAAAAACCCATCTTAAACAAATTATAATTTCAAATTCTACAAATAGTACCCTCAAGTCACTTAAAATTAATTGCACTGACTATTTTAGTATCTATCTCAAGTAAGTAGACACCCTCATAATTTCAATGACTGACTGCTTAACCCTAACAAATTACAAAAAGGTCGACACCTTTTTTAGAACAGCACTCTTGTCTACCTAATTAAGTTTTCTCTTGTGTACAATAACAAGCTTATTTATTAAAATATGCATCAAATAGTCTCGAGTACTGATAATCATATTAAAATAGAATTTTCTTAGAATACAATAATTAGGCTAGGTTCTAAGAGCTGAAGAACAAGCTCATTGGCGTATTAGTGACGTCAATGCTCGCAGCATTGGGCGTAACGTGCTGATGTTGATACACACATACATACATAACCTCACGCCTGTTTCGTATCGGTGCCGAAACATGTACCTACACCGTGATCAACGCCGTGTCACCAGGCCCAAATCTGCTGAATTAGGACATTACACCTACTTTGATGCAACGAAGGTTCTATGGAGTATTGCAACATTCGAACTCCTGAGTCGTCTTCTCTTGTCGCAGCCATGTGTCCAGCTACGAATCGCTACATCATCATCATCATCATGGACACACGCAACACCAGAGGACTCACAGTTGCGTTGCAGGCTTTATAAAAAGGCCTTTGAAAAATGTTTACTCAAAGCCGTAAAAGTTCAAAAGGCAATAGAAATGAATACAAGTAACTAAACATTATATTTTAAAGAAATCCATATATTCGTAAAATCAATACCTACAAGATAGTTTACTTAACAAATCTATATATGTAAGTAATAAAACTGTTAGATGTGTGAATTCTTTACATAATTTGGGGTGTTACTAGATGGACACCGAACAAAAAATGTTATGAAAATTAAGTCTGTCTGTCTGTCTGTATGTGCACGCACTACCCAAAAACTACCGGTCCGATTACGATGAAACTTGGTATTTTGTGGGTAATATTTTAATATCGAGGGCAAAGCCGCTAGCAGAAGCAAGTATAACATAAGGTATGTATCCACGGCGTGTGGTGGTCTAGAAAATATTTTAACAACTTCCAGATTCGAGGCTCTAAGTTTGCCAAAAGACTAATGATACTGTAAATCAATAGATTTCGACCTAGGAAGCTCATATTATGGGTATTTTATGTGATCACCTTTAGAAAAACTTGGCGGCATCTTTTTGTATCGTGGGATATATTTGGGATTTGGTGTTTGAATACTGTTCTACAATAATCTATTAATAATGTCGAAGTCTATACAATACCTAGATTAATAATTATAACTCACGTCTGCTTAAAACCTTCACAAATAACAAAGTATGATGTAGAAATTACTGCCTTGATTTGCGATACACATAATAGTTACAAATCGGTCATCATAAACTACCTTTCAAAAGGTAGTAGTGGTAGTGATCAGCTCTAAATACGTTTTTATTTACGAGAAGATTAAAAAGTTCGAATACACTAAAACTAAACCTCCTTACACTTCAATCATAAACCATCAAAAAAAATCTATCAACAGCAAAGAAAGAAAAGAGCTTCACAACCACAGAGACATCGACTGTCATATCATAGCACGTGTCATTATAATTGAATCGATACAAAACGGACGCCAAATCATTACACAATATGCGGACGAAGTCTCCGGAGAAAAGAGGTCGGCAAAAAACCTCGGTGCAACAAACTTATAGGGTTGAGGCCGAAAGGAACCCGGAAACCACACCGCAATATTTTCAGGTACAGACCACTTTATAAATTATTTATCGAAAGACCATTGGGTCCATGGTTCTGCAAGAAATTGCGGGTCTCAGAGACTATACAATCGAGATCAGCTAAAGATTCTTGCAAAAAGTTTAGTCAGTAAAGATGGTGTCTTCAAGTCGGCAAGGATTGACAGAAGGCAGTTCTTTTGTATAATGTGATAATTTTCTAACTTCACTTAATTTTTTCTCGTGAGTTCTGTTCCCTTAGAACATAATGTCTGACATTCTATAATAAAAGTCTCATAAGCTGAATGATCAGATGAAAAGATTATTTTGAAACACTTTTTTTATATTTAACTTTTAAGTAAGAGGTGACCGCATTGATACTATTATCTAGACTTAAATAGAACTTGCAATAATTATGCACTTATAATAAAGACCAAAAAGACGGAATGCGCAAAAGAAGTATTCCTACGCCATCTCCTTGAATTTAAAATCTTCAGACCAGGCAGAAATGTTGTATTTCCAGACAATTTTTATTATCATATAGAATGGTCTCACCCTGTCTGCAAAGCCTGGTGTCACCACATGTAGTCCTTTATTGGTAGTTGTTACGTTTTTGTTCAAGACAATGCTGGCTTTTCATATGTCGGTCGGTGAACTCGCTGACAATTTTAACTTCAGTGCTTTTGCCGCTGCGGCTTTTTATGAAGCGACAACTTTTCCGATTATGGGAGCAGCTGTCTTTTTAAAAGAACGTTTTTAAAGATACCTAAAGGGAACGGCGAATAAGAGTTAAATTCTTCAATATAAACTACATTTCTTGTATTAAAGATTTATGTAACATACCTACATAGGGAGGCGAAATCTGAAATGAGGAGTTTACTTTTTATTTAGTTTTTGTACTTAACCGAAATGTATTTATTTATTCTGACAGATATCAGTGAATGTTTTGGAAGCCCGCAAACTAACATGGCTGAATCCAAATTCTGCAAATTCTTACGTCATCGTCGTCCTTGGAAAGAAAAAGCACAGGACGACCATCAGGCGCAATATGGAAGAACCGTATTACAGAGAGGTAAGGTATAAATTGCAGTGCTTCGAATAGCTTCAAATCTGAAGGTGCATCTACGGTGAAGCTCCTATTTTATTGCTTTATGTTTACGAAGTTAACTTTGAATAATATAGGTACTTTTATTCGTATTAAAGTTAAAGGTAGTGAAAGGGTTTATAAATACCTATGTTTGTTGTCAGGTTTACTTGTAAAGAATCTTATTGATTTGAATTAAAAACTTAGTAATTGTAAAAATTAATATACATGATACATCACATCATTTAGTTACAGTTTGAAGATTTTGAAACTAAGAAATTCGAGCACTTAATTCTTATCTTTTTAGTATTATTTTTATAGGTACGAAGATTGCGCGATGACCATAGATATAATAATTAAAATTTCTGTAGCGATGACGACGATTATAAGTTGATAGTACCTGAAAACTAAAAAAGAAGAGTTAATTGTTAATTTATAATCGTATCTAGAACGACTCAAACCAACTTAGATAATGGCTTCATTACACTCATGTCACCGTTAAAATTATTATAAGTTCCTTATAATAAAATGTGTTCAAAATTATATTATTGCCCATTACGTTTGTTTACTCTGCGGGGTAGACAGAGGTAATGAGCCGATGTATCGTCGCGGTGTCTGGCCACGGATAAGTGCAGACATGATTACTGGTCAAATGATTACCTATGTAAACTGACTATTTACTTCACATTCATTATTCGGTAGTTCTGTTGTGGAGTTGCATATTATAGGCTAATCAAGAGACGTTAAATTTCATAGACTTGGGACTCTGGTTTAAAGTAGGACTACTCGAAGTCGTTTTTGTCTTGCATGTGTGCGTCCGCTAGTGCAAAATTTACAACGAAAATCCTCCCATTAAATTTATATCTATAAATATTTGAGTACATCTACGAGACCATTTTGAAATACCTAAAGTAAAAAAATATAGGTAGGTAACAAACTTTTTTAATTTGTTTTTAAAATATTTTTTATTGAACTCTGCATTCATATTTATATTTTTTCATGTAAGTTGTGACTCTGGTTTAAAGTTCCTACTTTAAACCTCTGAGTAGTCCTCTACTCGAGGTCGTTTTTGTCAGTAAGAGCGCTAATAGGTACTGATAGGTACCATAGTATATGTTCTTTATACTATGTAGGTACTCTTTCACGTCACCCATGGACAGGAGAAGTCATTGGTTGATGTTCCTCCCTCAAAATAAAAAACGCTCCATTTTCGGTTCGGAACGTTTAGATAACAATTTTGTCTAATTTATGGCAACAGGCTAATGAAAACTATCAAAAGTTTTATTAAGCTAAAAACTTTCAATACCTACTTAACCCGACGACGCCGGAATTGAACCCAAAGCCCCTTATTCGGATGTCGTGTTCGCAGCCACGCGATCAACGAGGCGTTAAACTCCGCTATACATTCAATATTTTACTCGTGCAACAAAATTGTCTAGACTATACAGAGCGAACTTTAGCTTGGATATAACTTTGTAACTCGTAGCGCCATCTATGGTTGTTTTCTTGTATTAAATTATAAACGCTTCTGCAGGGACACGCGACGCACCGTGCCGTGCCCTGTTGAATGCATCAGTTTTTAGCGTTCTACGATAGATGTCGCTATTATACATTTACATTACAATTTAGAAAAAAGATGTTACAAATAAAATATTTCTAATTCTCAATTAGTGTTTCATAAAGGGTGTAAAAGGTTTTTAATTTTAATTTAAACATTTTAAAAAACATTAGGTTTAACAATTAACAAAACATTACAAACACGCAATGATTAGCAGTACCGCCAATGTCAAATCACATACCTGTCACTTCTAACAGTACCTACATTTTTTAATTATTCTGGTTCCTAATTATTTAATAATTAAAGATTTCCTTATTTTCTAACCACCTTCAAAAACAAAGGAGTTTCTCAAATTGACGTTTATGTATGTACCTATACGTACCTATGTTTGTACTCGATTATCTCGCGGTTGGCTGAACCGATTTTGATGCGGTTTTCAGAAAAGTTTTCTTTTAACTTAGGAAAAGGTTTTAGCATATTAATTACCCGATTTCAAAAAAGGGGTACTACGCAAATCAATAAACTATAATAAATAAATGCAAAAAGCTATATCACGCCATCTATTGAGAATGTCGCTAATTAATATGAAGACCCTTTAACTGAAAGCTAAAACGAGATTACGTTTTTTTGTTCAGAAGTTCAAAACAGATGTCGCTGTTAACGTAAGCTACAAGATTAGGTGGTTCTTATTATTTCAATGAAACAGAATTAGTTTTATATTTTGTGTGATAATAACTTGTTTTTTTAAACCCATAGATGGCGTTAGTGTTCGACACAAGTGATAGGTTTCGTTTTTGATATTTTTGAGTTCCTCCTACAACTCACAATATTTCAATTGTTACTAATTATATCTAAACTAGCTCTTGCCTGCGACTTTGTCCGCGTGGGATATGAATTTTATTACATAACTTTTTTTTGTCCCAATTTTCCAAAATGTAAGTGGCCTAAGCTATGCTACTTCTTAGTACATCACCTTGCTGCCAATAATAGTATTGCAAAATCGGTCCAGGCATTTCAGAGATTAACCAGTACAAACAGACAGATAGACTAAATTTATAAAAAATGTTATTTTAGTATGTACAATCTTATGCATGTAATAAAAAGTATTATTTTAATAGTACAAACAGACGCTTCAATTTTATTTATCTAAATTTTGTGTAGCAACTTCTAACAATTGTTGTTCTCAAACTATAGATAGCGTAGTGGTTAACTCAAGTGGTGGGTTTTGTTTTTAATATTTTTGGGTTCATCTGCTCATAATTTTTCAATTATTCCTACTTACATATATCTAAACTATCTGTAGCCCGCGATTTTGTCCGCTAGGAATATGAATTTTATAACATAAGTTTTATTTCAAAATGAAAACAGGCCATGTTATTCCTGAGTACCTATATTAGCTACCTGTCAATAAAATTCTTACAAAAACGGTCCAGCCATTTTAGAGATTAGCCAGTACAAACAGAAAAACAGATACAGATAGACTCCGTTACTAGCTCTCAGCCGAATGGTTATACAATTATCATTACATTTTTATTAGGTACGCTTAAACTTACGCTGTATTATGGACTTATCTTTAAGTCTCGTGTAGGTAGGGCACAATTTCAGCCACGGAACTTTTTATTCTGCTGGTTTCTGCCGCAGGAACCACAGCGCGTTGCCCGTGCCTTAGCTTATTCATACCGTATTACTTATGGATCTTGACATAAAGTAGGATCATCATCAGGGTACCTAATTTCCATAACCTAAATTGTGTATTGCCATAGCATTCCTTTATGTTAATTACATTCATCACCAACTGATACGGGTATCATTTCAAATTCCATTACTTCTACTTGGGCATAGGTACTATTTAAATTTCGTTAAAATCAATAATCGATAAAAATCTAAAATGTATCTATTCAGAGCTATTTGCCATTAAATCCACACAAGCAGTGCTTTTAGATTGAGGTCGGTTATTGATTTCAGCCGTTTAAACGACGATAATTTCAGCTCTAGACACTTAGTCAGATCCCAAGTAAGGTATTAATACTAAAGTGAAGTCGTCTAAAATTACCCGATGAAAGTTTCTATACATTGTTTCTTTGGACTGTTCTGCTTTTATACTCAAAGGGCTTGTATTTCAAAACGTCAGCTTAATTAAAATCTCTCATTCTTTATGAAATGACTGGTCGCCGGTCATCCATGCATCAATGCATACCCCTTTCTGTAATACCTATTTGGGGAATAATCCCTCAAATATCAGACCTCAGTGAAAGGGTTCTCCCCTAAATGAAATGTTTTGTTTCTTTTCACATGTCTGACCTTGCATCAGAGCATCATCAGATTTTAAACTTTATTCCTGAACGATACAATTAAAAACATGTTGACGATATTTCGCTGTTATTAATATGCGTACAGTCACCATTCATACTGGTGTGGGGCGATTCTCTCGATTTCAAATTTTGTTTTGGCCCTGAAGAAAGAATTATTTTTGAAGCAGTCGTTTAGAAAATACCTATAAATGAAATTAAAAAATACATGATGTGTATAAATTTCTCCTACATATTTTTTATTGTGGATACACACAGAAGTGATCAGTATTATTAAATGCAGCTAAGATAAAAATTTGCTATATAAAAGGCTTTTTCAAAATCTCCCTCGTAATAGGGAGTTGGATTGTGGATGCTGTTCCATAGTTTAAAAAAGCGCAAAACACAAGGCAATAAACAGCCAACATATATTAGATTTATCATTGGCATAAAATTTTATAATTCTCAGTAGTAGCTGGAAGTCTGGAAATGTAAAGTGTTGACCCCATGCTTGACACTCGTACTTATGATTCGATTGACGAATCTATCTATGATTGGTTAATCGTAATGTGCTTGGGATTATTGTAATGACGTGTGGGAGAGCCATGCTTCGGCACGAATGGGCCCTGCTCGACCGGAGTCATACCACGGCCTCATAGAAAACCAACGTGAAGCAACGCTTGCGTTGTGTTTCGTCGTGAGAGTGAGGTTACCGGAGGCCCAATTACCCTCCCCTTTCCCAGTCTCCCCAATCCCTAAATCCCCAACGATCCTCAAACTCCTAATCCCAAAAGGCCGGTAACGCACTTGTAACGCCTCTGGTGTTCCAGGTGTCCAACACCAGAGGCGCCGATTGCTTACCATCAGGTGATCCGTCTGCTCGTCTACCGGCTTATGCCATAAAAAAAAAACGTGCTGTCACATTGACTGTAGTGAGACACGAGCAACTGCATCTTAATTTTCAGTGTCCTAACTGCAATAGTGCAATCCCCGTAAACTTTTATTCAGCTGTGGATTTAATTCCGTTCTCCGACATCTTTGGCAACTGATTATGTATGTACCTATTACTTAATTAATTATTGTAATTTGTAATGCGGCAAATCGATTTCGGGTTGTGTCGGATGCACGCGCGCAACACTATAGGCAACGCCACATCCCTATTCCACTTCCCCCTCTTCCCCGCCACTGACTCGCTCGACTCGCTTGCGTAGGATAGATAGTCACACCGACCGAGTCTCAACTCCCGCGCTGCCGCGCCGCCGCCACCAGTCGGTGCCGTGACCGTGACGCACCGCACGCGCCTCGTATTTATTCCGCGAATATCTGAGTTTATGTTTTGTGCAACTTTGTCTATGTTTATTTTAAAGTTTTATCCTTTTATATTAAGTTTAACTGACGGTCAATCGTGTGTCGCATTTTATTCCACGCCCCTGAGAACCCAATACACGGCTATATTTTATAGGTACCATTAAAGTGTCGCCCAACTTCCAGCTACGAACTGTGAATAAAAACTAATAGTTACAACAAGTTCTAGTGTTCCTATCGTGCAAACACGTATTGTGACCTCTCTCCAATAGTGCAATCACACGAAAACTTTCGTAAAACACGCGTAAATACGAAAGTGAAACACTTGGGCGAGTCCATTTTTCGCGTGCCGCCGCACCGGTTGCATCCGTAGGTATATGTATACAGTACATATACCTACCAACTCTTAGAAGCTACCAACCCCAAAATCGTCACCGTTCAGTAACAGTTGGAATTGCTGTTATCATGCCGACGCCGAGAAGAACCAACTGGAAAACATGAGGGATCCGACACCGACACAGGTGCCGAGATGAACAAACCGTGATTTTCTTGAATGTTATAATGTCTGAGGATATGCGAAAGGCTTTGATTATGTTACACCTAATGTTTAGATGAAGTGGCGTTGCAAAATTTCTTGCATGTGTGCGTCCGCTAGTGCAAAATTTACAACGAAAATCCTCCCATCAAATTTATATCTATAAATATTTGAGTACATCTACGAGACCATTTTGAAATACCCAAAGTAAAAAAATATAGGTAGGTAACAAACTTTTTTAATTTGTTTTTAAAATATTTTTTATTGAACACTGCATTCATATTTATATTTTTTCATGTAAGTTGTGACTTTTTCATAAGAAAACAATAAATTTATTATTCATATTTCAAACATTATTTCTATAAAACCAATTTAGGAAATATTAATAATGCACCCTTTTCACAAAAATATACTTAATCCGATTCAATTATTTCAAAGTAATTGTCGAAAATCGAAACGAACCTTCTTATTTTAGTCAAAAAATAATAAAATTATTATTTTATTTTTAATTCGCAAGCAAGTGAAATGTTTGAATTTGAACAATGAACAATAATTTGGCAACACGGATAAATTATGATAAAAATAATATAATTTTTAAATTACAACGACAGTTTTGCGATGTACTTTTTTATTTACGAATATATTTTGCTGTTGCAGCGTGCATGACACTTAGTGACATAGTTGGTACCTACTAGGTACTTATATTTGAATTTGACGGCAAAGTGCTTAGTGTATTGCAGTGAACAATTTAGGTAGGTACTGCAAATTTTTTAAACGCTTTTCATGAACTGACTCTGCATCTACACATTCTATAATCAAAGACTAAATGCCCTTTCTAATCTAATGTAATCTAAGGCTAAATCTCCAAAATCAGTAAGAGTCAAGTAGAAGCAAACAGAATTCTGATTGAGATTATTTTGGCGGGAAACGAAATCCCTTTGATTAGGTACAACACGTACATCATCGCCCCGCGCCTAAATCGCCGACGCACACACGTCGCATGCACACACGCATGCGCCGCGCGCAGGATGATGAAAGTTCCCGACTCCGAGGTGCATACTGCATGGCGCGATTTAACGGATCGTCGATGACTTTGAATTTAGCTTGTATTTATCGAGACCATCGAAGTCTACCGGGAATGCACCAAACGTCTTAGATTGTAGGTGGAAGTGATGACGATTCGCAACCAGTCGTTGATCGTAAGGGTATCATCCCGATCCCTATGCTGCACGCTTTCTGAATGCTGGCTTGATATTTATGACGGTCGTACGTACCGTAGGTCTTGCTGACGGGTTTTAACAGAAATAGATCACGGTTGAAAGTGACTTCGACTTCGACGGCATATTAGGTAAACGTGTGATACCGAATGCACAAACGAGGCCGTTATTAGGTAAGAATTTTATAATAATACCAAATATCCTATTTGATTTACCGCAGTACAGCTGGTGTTTTAATGATGATTCGAGTTAGCATCCGTTTGCGAATGTAGGTACGCGAAACACGTTGTTTGAAAGTCGTGAAGCCTGCAAAAAACATAATAAACCGAGTTAGCCAGAAACGAAGCTCTTGAAAAAAACATCACCTGTGTCAGAAAATTCTTCAGGAGCCAGAGATCGTTTTATCTTAAAACTCAAGGTAGCAACGATGCACCCCGTAAACAGTCTCCGAAGTCCGAATCGCGTCGTATAATAGTTGTGGCTAGAATTTGGGTGTTGGGTGAGTACCGCGTCTCAAAGTTGACCCGTCTCGTAGGCGATGCTGAACAGGCTGTTATCGAAAAATGTAGGCGCGGAAAACCCAAGCGATTTCTAGATTGACTAAGTCGCGAGGACTCTATGTCTAGGTCAGAGCAGAGGAAGTGTCGGACGTACGCGCGCTACACTGTAGGCAACGCCACAATCCCAATTCCACTTGCCCCGCTTCCCCGCCACTGACCGCTCGACGCTTGCGTAGGAGCGGACCGTCACGAACGTCTGTAACATTGTACAACCATGTTCTATTCTAGTTAGTATAGTTTAAAGTTTTATCCAATACACAAGATTAACAGTCAATCGTGTGTCGAACTTTATTTCACGCTCCTAAGATCACGATACAAAGCTACACATTCCATTTTTGTCCAGTACTTCATGTTCGAGTTGTACGTGAGCATCAGAGACATACAGCGGTCGAGTATCTGGCTGGCTGTGATGGAACCCAGGTGTTGCGCCCCTCCTCGACTCATGGGGGAAGCCAGCATCGACCTCGGAGCTATATGGTCACAACCACGTAAGTACTAGACATTGTATTGTATCTACTAGTTAATTGTAGTAAAATTTTCATATATGACTTTATTATTTATTAAGTTTATTTAAACTGTATAATTACCATATATTTTAGTATAATGGTTCAAAATGAAGTTACTGTAAAGAATTGGGTACACATTTCAATTAATTAATTGTTTCACTACTGAGTGGTAACATTGTCGGATTTTTTACATTTGCCTTGTAAACGTACAAAAACAAATAACGTACGAATCTCTAGACATCAGTTGTTGCTGATGGTGAGGAGAATCGCGTAAACTGCATAATGATTAAAATTAGTCATTAATGTCTTGGTACAAAGGTATGAAATCAATAGCTAGTAACATAATATTTTAATCAAGGCATAATTCATTAAGAACTACATTCATTAAGAAATCTGGACATATCATAACCACTTAATTTTTGGAAGTTGACTGCACGGTTCGCGCAACTGGCTGCCGCGCATCGTGTGCACAGATTATTGTTCTGGGTCTGGTTGTCATGTGTATACTGTATGTGTATTTGTATTTTTGTAAACGCACTCACGACACCTAGGAGAAAATCCTAGTGTAAACGTAAAAAAATTGAATGGAATTATTGTAAAGAATTGAATTAGATAGCTGTATTATTTTAATTTGGAAAAAGCTTTACAATACTTTATGTAAATATTATTTTTGATTATTTTTCATTCAATGTAAGGCGTAAACTAGTAAATTGATATTGTATTTAAATGTTTGTCCTCCAACGTTCGCAAATTATGTTTAGCTGTTATTGCACTTGCCTTGTAAACGGGACACGTAACTTATTATAAAAATATATAGTAAACTAGCTTTTACCCGCGGCTTCGCTCGCGTCACAAAAAGATAAAAAGTAGCCTATGTGACTATCCATCCGTTCAACTACCTTCAGTTAAAAAATCACGTTAATTAGTACGCCGCCGTTTAAGACAGGCAAACAAACAAATAGCTTTCCGCTCGCGTGGAATTCGGTTATATCGCGCTATTTAGATCTTTCCAATTAGTAGGTAATTCGTTGACTGGTTTTAAATGACATACAGCGCCATCTATACCAATACACACAGCGCCATCTATACCAAAATTTTTGTTTTCCCTCGGAAATATCAAATGTTGGATAAAAAGTACCCTATTATTATATATTCCAGACTTTTAACTTTACGTCTGCAAAATTTCAAATCAATCGGTCTAGTAGTTACGGCGTGAAGGCGGAACAAACAAACAAACAAACTCACTTTCCGATTTATAATATAAGTAAGGAAGTAAGGATATTTATCAAGAAATGAAAAAGAAATTAACTATTGGCTCCGTTTCTCTAATCCTATTACTGTAAGTGTATCTTGACTCTTGAAAAATACTTTTCTTTGTTTCTTTATAATAAACACAACGTCATCAACAGCCCATAAATGCCTACTCCTGAGCAAAGCCTCTTCTCACAAGGAAAAGGTGTGAGCATTAACCTCTGGTATATCGGAGCGTAAATCTACGCAACACACAATGCGTTTTCTATTGTGTCTCACGTAGCGACAGACCAGAGGTTAATCACCACGCTTGCTTAAGCCGGGTTAGCGATTATAATTAGTAATTATAAGCCCAGGATTCCCATCGCGCGTCGCGTTCCGCGCGCACCTCATAGAGCCATCGGACCACTCCGGATGGGGCCCAATAGGGCTGATACCGATACGGCGCCGCGGGGGACTTAACGGGTTGCCGGGGCTCCGGCTCGAAGGGCAGGAGTAGGAAGGGGGTGGTTTTTAGTCAGTAAGAGTTTGACATTCCCTCATTCCCTCCCGCCTCTCCCAGGCGGAAGAAGTCATTCGATGATTTTCCCCTCTTAAAAAAAGCCCAGGTTTCCTCACGATATTTTCCGCAAAAACATAACACTGAAACACAACGTAAGTACGCTTTACAAATTTTTATCGTCTTCAACTAAGTTCCCTATAAGCTCCTTTACTTAAACAGACTACTTACATTTTAAAACAAGTCGTGTCTTACATTCTATATTTCAAGAAGGTTCTAAGATCCTTACTTATTTCTTTACCTTCCTGTCCGTAGGTACTATACTTACTGTAGGTACCAATGCTAATATTATGGATGGGAAAGTGTGTGTGTCAGTTTCGATGACGAACGACGAATGAACGTGTTTTTTTGTAAGTGAAAGTAGTTGAAGTTTTAGAGAGTAACTTATCACATAGGCTACTTTTTGTCCTTTTAAACTACCAACTTACCTACAATGGCGGGGGGGATAGTAGCGGTGGCGTAGCGCGCCCTGGCGGGGCCCCGTACAAAAATTTGTTTAGGGACCCTTATGAAGGATAAAGATTTCTCACAAGCGACAAAATTTTTTACATAAAATACTAACAATTTGTGTGAAAATTGGAATACTTTCTAGACAACTCCCTCTTTCCAAGTTATCGGACTATGATTACTTTAGTTTTTCTAAAGTGACTGTCAACTTATGAACGCATACTTTACGCCGGCAAAACTCGTTTATTTTGACTTCTATAAACAAAAAGAAAATCTTCCATCTTTTTCTTTGTTAAAACTTTACGATACAATCAGAAGCGAGTGAAATCGCGCGATAGTAGCTAGCACAACAAAATACTCGCATTCATCGAAGGCAGTCTTCCCTACCTGGAATGGAATTTATTTCCAGACATTTCCAAGAAGCAAATATAAGCTCTGCAAGCGGCGTCTTCCCAGTAATAATATTTAATAAAATATTTTCTGCAATTCTAGTTTATTTCTATGCTGTATTACTTATATTTTAGTTTGTCTATTTCTTTCTTTCGTGAGAATTGATACTTACTAAATTGTTATGTTTAGTTAAATATATTTTTTTAAGTTGTTTATCTTGTGTTCCATGCATATTATGTGTAAGTGTGGTGTACCCATGCTTGGGCACGAATGGGCCGGCTGAAACGTAGTGATACCACGGCCTCACGTAAAACTGACGTGAAATAACGCTTGCATTGTGTTTCGGCTCAAATCCCTAACCCACAGACGGCAGACAACGCACTTGCAACTCTTCTGATGGTGCGGGTATCCATACAATATACGGGTGACGGCAATTGCTTTCCATCCGGAGAACCGTCTACTCGTTTGTCGACCATAAAAAAATATAAGTCTATTGCTTAGTCACATGAAAAAATTAATCTATGTACTAGTTCTGCAAGCGTACTTGATTAGTTTATATACAAAGCAAAGACAAATAAAGGTATTTTTCGTTAGGAGAGGTATTCAGTTCGAGAGCTCTTTGTTTTTCTTTGTCTGTCTTTATAAAAGACAAAGATATGCAAAGGGAAACGCAACTCCCTCCCCAATGACAAATAAAGGAAACGTCGCGTCGTCGTCTAGTCTTCATATTTAATTTAATTAGGTATTTAGAATTGTACCGTAGTGAGATTTCATTGTAATATAAGCCGATTTATGCCTTGTGAATTGAATTCTTACTGTATAGGCAAAAGTATTTAGTTTAAATTTTATATCTTACACTATCTATTATTTCACAACACAATTTTTTCTTGGTTGGTAAGAAATATTTACGGGATGTTGCCTTAGTATCGAATATTTTCACTTAGTTTAACCGCTTGAATGCCCGTATATGAGACACAATAGAAAATAGTAAAATACATTGTGTGTGTGGATCCACAATTTTTTTATGGCATAAGCCGGTAAACGAGCAGACGGATCACCTGATGGTAAGCAATCGGCCTCGCCCATGGACACCTGGAACACCAGAGGCGTTACAAGTGCGTTACCGGCCTTGGGGATTAGGAGTTTGAGGATCGTTGGGGATTCAGAAATTGGGGAAATTGGGGAAGGGGAAGGTAATTGAGCCTCCGGTCAAAGACAGTTTAGACACACGACGGGTTAAATCCGCCTTCCAATGTGTTGTGGCTATGGCTATAATCTTAAATTGTCTCAGATGTTCGTTCAGCACGCTCATAGTAAACAGTGAACCGTCACCGGCTGCTGGGGATGATGCGACTAATATTTAATTATAATAATATATCCAATTAATAATATTCTTTTTCAAAAGACCTACAACGCACCTGTGACTCCTCTGGTGTTGCGGGTGTCTATGAGTGGCGCTGATCGCTTACCATCAGGTGATCCGTCTGCTCGTTTGCCTCCTATTCCATAAAAAAAAAATGTATGCAGACTATGTGATCGCACCCACATAAATTTTCAGTATCCTGGATTTCACTAATAACCTAACCCTAACCTAGCCGTCGCGAAGGACACACCGGGCGTCGGGGATCGCGGGACGATCTCCGGCCACCGTAAGCGCGGGCCTGCGGACGGCGAGCATGGGTGGCTCCCCGTCCGACCAGAAACAGACCCGAGCGTACGGCGCGTCGCGTTCCGCGCGCGCCTCTAAGAGCCATCACACCACCACGAATGGGGCCCAACAGGGCTGATGCCGATTCGGAGTCGCGGAGAACCTAACGGGTTACCGGGGCTCCGGCTCGACATGCAGGAGAAGGAACGGGGTGGTTTTTAGTCACTAAGAGTCTGACACTCCCTCCCGTCTCACACAGGCAGCAGGAGCAGTCATTGGATGATTTTCCCCCATTAAAAAAAAACCCTAACCTAACCCGGAATTTGAACCCAAAATCTTTCGAGATCTCACTTGAGCCACAATCTCGCGACTGTTGAACCATTGATTAATATAGGTTCAGGCAATCGCGAGAAAATCGCGGACAACAGTCAAACTTTCTTTTTAAAGTCGATTAAGACAAACTTTCGTTCGTGGCTATTTCAAATGTGTATTTACGTAATTGTTTGTTCTACAACTTTTCTCTTAAATGAAGGGGCCGTATAAATGACGTCATTTCTGTTTATAACCTTCATGTAAAAAGTAGGGTTAAAAATTACAAAAGGAACTTTTAATAAATTTTCTAAAATTGTAAGTTAAAATTACCCTATTGTATGGTTACCGCGTTGTGTAACAACCGACTTGACTATA